AGGTAGTTTTAATGGATAAGACTCTCGGCCATTTATCTTTCGGCATGTTGATAAAAATAAAGTAATAAAAACGGGAATTACCATAGAAAGCACACAGGATAGTGCACCGTAAATATTTTAACACACTGAAATATGGACAATGGTCAATGGTCGTAATCGACATTTTCTTATCCTCAGTATACGTATTTTATTTCATCGATTATTGATCTAAGGTCATATTTGGCAAAAATGCTTAAACATTATAAGTATAAATAATAGTTTATTTATTTTGATATTAATCGAAACTATAAAAATATAATATATTTGCCTTACATTACAATAGTATATATTTCAAAAACGTCTAAAAAAAAAAAAACATCGAAATATGCACTAAAAGATGAAATATGGAAATACAATTGGTAAAATAAGCCCTTAAAATAGAAAAAATATAGGTAAATGTCAAAAATTATGCAAAAATATGCACTAAAAAAGTATCACTTTTTAAATCAATATGGCTTGGAGCACATTTCATGAGTTATGCTCCCTTTGCATGTCATACGATCAATCAAAATAAATATACAAATACATACGAATCCGCGCTATACGGAGAACACTTATACAACAAATTTCATAATAATAATTAAACCAAAATATAGATTAACTTGCAGATTTGATATTAATCAAAATAACATTTGATCACACCATTAATTTGATTTTGGGTTTAAGTTTATATAATACAATTTTCAAAGATACGAGTCAGAAGTCCTCGCCCTTCGTTGAATCATGGCACAATAAAAGTATTTTCTGAAAATCAAGAAACATCCTATAGTAGTATATCTTGTATTTCTATATCTGTTTTATAACTTTTATTTTCCTTTGCCACGGCCCACGATTATTGGATTTAGAATTATAACTCTATGCTAGTCTGCATCGAAACGATAATGAACAAACCGGTATGTAAATTAAAATGGATTGAACATTATATAATAAAACACAATGAGTTTCAGTAGTGATAAAACTCGCACGTAATATTTTTCGGAAAGTCGTTTTTTTCTTGAAAATTGTGTTAAATAATACGTGGGATTGTTTTATACTTGAAATGATTTCATGGTAGTTTTAAAACAAGTTCGAGGCATACCTAGGATTTCGCGGAATCTTTGGTGTATGTACAGTGCGTATAAGTTTATTAAAAAAAAAATAACACATTCTTGGTAGAACTCATAGATCATCCTTCGCTACACACGGCGTCTAAAACCACGGGAAGTTATTTTTGTGAGGACTTTTAGACTAAACTTTATGATGTTTTTTCGGTTATTACCGCCGGATTTTGTTTAACCTCTGCCCAAGTAAACAATACGATGATATACCTGTGTTATTTTATTAGTGTGTCAGTGTTTCCTAAACAATGATACTCACATACGCACAGATCAATCTACTTAATGGACTTTGCCAAAAATCGTTAGTATGGTTTAATTTAACGTTTATCGAAACATACATGACGCGCTGGTTTAATTAAATTCGAATCCATCATAATAAACCATTAACAGCTTTATAATTTTCTTTATCGACGGCGTATTGATTTTGAACACGTAAACACTACCTGTGATAATAAATGTAATTACCTACTAGACAGTGTGTTTCAAATGATAGACCGAAATGTTTCAGCTAGATATACTTGGATTTCTAAACGGAGTTTGTAAGAAGATTAGAGGTATGCAAATACACATTTTGAGCTAATTTTCAAAGTTTCAACCCTTGCGGTGCTCAATAAAACTTGTTTTGTCGTAAACAGAAACATCCATCTCATAATATTTAAATATTCTAATTTCATTCCAAACTATTGATTTTTACAATTGTTATTTCTATCCCGAAAGTTGCCCGAATAAAATAATTGTTTTAATTGTGGATAGGCGCACATTACTAAAGGCTTACAAATGAATTGAAAATGTTCATTTTGATATTCTACATATTTTAAAAAAAGACCCACTTCGATTTAAGTCTATACGACTAAGATATTTTGTGTTCATTTGAGTGAAACATGCCGTACTAGAACATATATTTAAAAAATAAAAAGTTATTAACCAAACACGAGTTATAAACCCATCGACAAATTCAATTTTATTTCGGCACATTTCGGATGCAATAAATGTTGAATCTTATTCGCAAGATTACTATTAGACTTATTAGATATCTTTGAATACGTCTAAATGTGTTTGCATTTCATTTAACCGCTCTTAATCTCATATTAAATCTCAGTATTTTATTAATAGTATATCTCTCAACTATGTTATTCAAGTTCGGGACCTAGGTATCAATCTGTATTTATCCTTCAATGCCCGCATTAATTCAATTTATAGGAAAAGACTACGTGTTCTTGGGCTTATTAAACGCACCTGCTCTGATTTTAATGATTCTTTATGTATGAAAGTCTTGTATCGTTCATTGGTAAAATCAGTACTTGAATATGGTACTGTGTTATGGAATTCTAATCAGTCCGGTTTAAATATAAAACTAATTATCTTTATCATAATGCTGATGATAATGCTAAATTTGTTGGTTAAAAGTGTCTAAAAACTAGAAGGTAAACATATGATGTATTTTTTATGTATACGATTTGACTAGCATTATCGACTGCTCTGAATTGTTACAAAAAATTAGCCTTAAAGTACCTTTTTTAAACTCCAGAAATAATCCACCTCTTTCCACTTCTCCTTATTCTAAAAATAATTACTTTTCAAATAGTCCAGCGTGTCCCCAACCAATATTGTGTTAACAAATTCATAATTTTAATTTTTTTTTCTTTCGATTCCTGTTCCATGCTAAAAACTTTTATTAATAATTTAAATATTTAATGTATAATTTAAATGTAAATTTGATGGTAATTTTTGTTTTTTCGCTTACTATACTCATACCTTTTTGAGCGTTATATGCATTTATTCATTTTTTGTTTAATAAATATATTTATCTATCTATCTATCCATTATCCAAATGATATTATTTCGATACCTAAAATTAACACATATCGACATACGTACGGTGTATTAGATTCTTCTAGCATTAATTATTTAATCGAATCATATCAAGCTACTAAATCAGATTAATCAATAATAAATACGAGAAGAGTTGAATTTATAAATTAATATTCTACATCAGCAATTCACAGACATTTACGACCACGGAATCTTTAGCGAACAATTATTCGTGTTTCGCGGTACATCGACTCTAACCCAACTGAAAAGGTCATAATGAAAATCGTAAGGTGTGTGCGGAACCCATACGATCGTTCCACGGAACCTATAGGTTCTCCGAAACACACTTTACAAACCGTTGGTATTATATATAATATACGAGTATAAAGTGCTGCGGCACTGTGGTGTATAATAAGAGTATAATAATACATAGTTATGCGAAAATACAAGGGTAGCCGCGGAAATATTATCCGGGGAACATGCTTCTCCCCCCATCGACGGCTCCTATGCGCACGGAGAATATAAAATTTGATTATTAGACGATGGCCGTCTTTATTAAAACTGTGTTTGCCATAAATTTTGAAGTACCTAATGCATATTTTATTTTAACTCATTAAGTATAGGAGAGCTCGGACGTTGTATAAAAGCTAAATTAGACGAAATATATTATGCAAATAAACATTTTAAATATGCAAAAAAAAAAGAAATACATAATTAATATTCAAAACCAAATTAGCTAATTTTGTTTTATTAGCTACCCCGTAGTGTAATAAAGTACATATTTTTCGTGTAAAATAAGTCTGACATTAATACGTCAGTACGTCAGTATGAACATTATAATAATTAAAAAAGGTAAGATAATGGGGACGGGTGCAGCCGCTGGTGTAAATGGGAAGTTTGGAAGGTAAGATACAGACAGGAATTTAATGTATATTTTTAAGCAACGATAAACCATTGCTTACGAAAAAAGCGATTTATTTATCACAATTATGTTTCATATATCCCGTCACAACCTAACGATAAAATTTTGTATAATTGTGATAGTATAATTTATACTATCACCGATCGTCAATAATATTAAATATATACTAATGGAACGATTATGAAAACGAAAAATGATCCTTTTTGTTAACTGTAAAAAATCAATAATCATTATTCACGATACGGCCTGTAATTTGTCGGTCAAGACTAAACTACAATATTGTCCTTCATTGGTAAATTTTAATTTAACATTATTATTATTTATTTATTTCTCAACAAAAGAATAGTTACAAAACGTGCAACGTTATAATTATTCGATAAATTACAAAGTATAAAAATATGAATTTTAAATTTTTGTTTTTATTATTAACTCGTAATAAATGTATAATATAATATATTAAATTTATATTTAGGTCGGTATGTTATAAATTAACAGAGACCAAATAAAATACAACCTCTACGACTCCCGGCCCTCATCATAAACTATTGATAAATAGTTTTATAGTATATTATGGATTAAACCGTTGGTAGGTATTCAAAATTCAGCACAAGAAAATATATATATATTTTTTTTTATATACGTGACAGAAATACGAATCAAAATAAGCTGATAATATAATAAATAATAATACTGTTATGGCAGTTGTTTGTTTGCGTGAATATTTTAAAATATCCAACGATTACGTTGCGTTCGCAATAAATGGAATTCGAGTAATATTTACGTACACGGCAGTTAAGTAAACCAGAAAAAAATGTGCTGATGTTGCAATGTTATAGTTGGGAAGTATATAGATGTATGGATTTCTTTGATTTCATTGATGAGTGAATTTCAGTTAAACATTTCCTCCTCCCCTCCGACCACCAAAAAAAAAAGACCCGATACGACTTTATGTAATTTTTTCATTTACCAGCTCTTTACAGTTGACAGAGGTGTTTTGTGTCCGTTGACCGATTACGCTGACGGTAAGAACGCTGACGTTAAAATTGTTGACGGTAAATAAACCAACGGATATGTACGCTGAAGAGTATTTACGCCGTTTGATTGTCCTATGAAAGACATTTTTTACGCAGGCTTCCATAATCGTCAACAATTTCTTTTATTGGCAATCCTATGTCCTGATAGCTCCTTTGCCTTGTGATAGAGTTAATTTAGCAATGCATCGATTGCCACATATTTACTACCACCAGTCTCTGGTCAGTGTTATGACCGATTTTGAGAACGCTTGTGTAAACGAAATCGGTTATGATTTTCCAAATATACAACACAAAGACAGTTTTTTCACTTTTAGGAGCAAATCATCCTTCAATTTAGAAATGTATTTAAAGTCTGAAAAAGAGCCTAAATGTGTGAATATAAAATTAATCAATGTGTTGCTGGATTAGCTTCAGCACGAAAAATAAATACAATGTTCTATTCTTTTAACTCTGAAAAATGTCTTTCTCAGGGCTATCAATCGGCGTAAATACTCGTCGGCGTACATGCACGTCAGCGTTTTAAATTCCGATATTTTTACCGTCGGCGGCAATTCATATTACCGTTATAATATTTGCTCACCAGTATATTATTATTATTTGTCCTTGGCTATACATTTATGCGTATTATTAAACTTTTTTCCACCGAATACCAAACTACCAAAAAAAATTTATTGGCAAATTTAGGAGGTTCGCGACCAACCGAAAGTTCTCTAAGTGATATATAGTGTCAAACAATTCGGATAACACTGTTTCAAAGCATAATAGTTTAGTTTTAGGGAAAAAGCCTATTATTATATGGTTCTCTCGTAAATAATTATATGTAGTATTAGGACACTCGTCCAAATCTCCTCGCCTTAGACCAATGCTATTTATTATAGATCGGAGAAAAAATATTATTGTTATTATTATTACATGCGAACGTGAACAATCCACGAATCACGAGGGATTAAAAAACCCGTACAATATACACTGTGACGTTAACTCGTGACCTCTCGTTACTGTTTTCGAGGGCTAGAGATACGGGCACCCACGTTCTCTCAGGATTTATTAGTATTTCTACAAACCCACACACCACCCGAAACAAATATTAGATTTCCATTTAAAACGCTCGTATGTCTGCAAAACGTGATACAATGATAATATTATTGTGTTAAGTTTTCAAAACAAAATATGTTTACTAAGGTTAAACTAAAAGAAAAAAAAACTTTCCAATATAATAACTAGTTTGGAAATGTACAAGGTATATAGTGAGTATATTATAGGGTAATCTATAATTTAAAATATTATACTGAAAGTAATGATAGATCGTTTTTTTTTTTTTTTGGCGTTCTAAAAACAAAACAAAAACAAGACAGCATATGTGAACAAAGCAAATCACTGTTCTATTTTATATTGTAGACATATTCGTTATAAAATAACAGATAACCGAATACTTTAATAACGAAATGCTATTCTATACATTACAACTTTACTATGCTCCAAAAAAAAAAAAAAAATTAAAAGATAATACTGTTAACGGGTATGCCACCATTGTTATTCTGGACAAGTTAGAAAAATATATGTAAAGCACAATATACCTACAGAATAATAATTGTCTCTATTTTCGTATAAAATTCGATAAAAACATTTCTATGTGGTGTTCGGTTAACAGATATTAAGTTCGATGAATAATCCTTATTTTTATTGTAAAATCAATGCCACACAAATATGAAAAAAAAAAAAAATATGCAAGACAATTCAAGTAGACGCTCTTTAGAAAAGTTAAAATTTTAAAATACATCTTTGAGTGATGTTGGATACCTAACAGTCCACTTATTTTCAAAATTTTTAATTTATGTTGAATTCAGATTTTGCCTAAAACCGTGTATCGTTATTTGCCGTCATTGTATTATATTGTTCAGAAAACATTTTCAAATATAGTAAATTGGTGTCGAAAGTCCATATTGTTTGAAGCACAGTGTGGCGTGAATATTTTAGAGAAGTTTTACCAATCGAAACATATTTACCAAAGAAAATTAACACATATCTTAATAAAACTTGAATATATTTCTCACTCTACTAGAATCTGAAAAGTTCTTTAAACTATACTTAGACGTTCGTAAAAAATATTAACGAATATATATATATATATATATAAATCATTAATTAATTATCATTATGATTTAAGTAACAAATGAGAATTCAGAAATTATAATTTGTCAATTAAATACGGCAATAAATCTTTTGTGGATTATTTAGGACCAATAACCTTCTTCAAAAAATTCAATGCCATTTTAATCAAAACAAATTATCATTCATTGAAAAATATTAAAATTAAAATGATTAGTATATAAATATTTATTTTTGTAATTATAAAATGACATGCGACATAGTTCATGTTAACTATATCAATCTAATTGTTTGTATCTACTGTATTTCATTTATCTATAATGTTTTGCTTCATATAAAATATTTGTTTATAAGAACACTTATTGTTTATCTTAAAATTTAATCATTTAATGTGTAGTGTTAATTTTAATTTTACCATTGACATTTTGATTTTTTTTTTGCAATGGCATCTGATTAAATATCAGATAATACACAATTTGGAGCATTTTTACTAAGATAAATTCGTTTTAAATATTTTGAAAAAATGAATATAAAAAATAATATTTTTTAACGAAATTCAGTTCACTGTATTTTAGATAATTATTCTAATCTATATTTTTAACAATAGATATTTATTAGGGTGGTCGTTATTTTTAAGTATACAATTTACTGAATCATGATCCCCTTAATTTATTAAGTTTAATTTCAATTCCTTCACGTGCCCACCAAGAGTTGTAGTGTGAGAAAAGGGACTGTTTAGTAATAATTAACATGTAATTTACGAAAAAATACAAATTAGTTAATAGGCATAAATTCCAATTAAACTAGTATTTTTTATGTCACATAAAAAAAACATTCTAAGAGTACTTCTTTGTTGTCCATTAGTATGCTTCTAATTATTTTTTTTTTTTAAATTAACATTCACAGACGTTATAAAAAATTATTATGAAAGAAAAACACGTTTCTTTGTCTATTTGAATTAAAGTTAGTGCATCATCATGTGTGATATCAAATAAATCGTTTAAATTTGTTTTATTTATTTCTCGAAAATTCACCATTTTAGGTCTTAGGTTTTTTTTTTTTTAAAATCTCCCAATTCTTCATTCGGTGTTTTACATTTTACAATGCAGTTTGATCGATATTTTATCAGAATACGAGCTTTCTTCATGTAAATTTAGATTTTCTATTCTCATATTGTAAAAAAGTACACAATTTTCCACTGAATATTTAATTTTGCATAAAACCAGTTAAAGGCAATAGTTTTCGTGATATTTAAAACAAATTTTAGACAAATTTCTTAGCCACTGAAACAATAAAATACGGGTAAATAAACTAGATCCACGCACTATATCCCATCTATGTAGCTATAGACTATAAAATAAACTAACGACAAACAATAATATACTGTAATAAAGTTTATATATTCATAACAAAACTAATTATTATTACAATAACAATCAATGTAATTTCTTCAGTGCTTTCTAGGTTAAACAGTTTATTTCCAATCAAAATATCCAATAGATGTTTATAAGGTACATTGATAAATTATAATAACATTAATCATAAACATATTTTATAAGAATAATGTACATTATATTTTTTTTGCGGCATAAAAAGTTCTACAAATTATATTGTATAGATATTTAACAATTTTAATTTTTTAACAAATTTAAATTAGATACCTTTAAAATTTTGCTCAAATTTCAAACCTTTGGGGGTACTTGAAAAATTGAGCAATAATGGTGAAATTCGACATATTTATATATATATATGATTTTAAGTGCTTATTTTGATTTCATATTTGGTAATTTATTAGTGCATAAATGAATAAATATTACAGCTATTTTAAGTGCATAAACATCCGAACCCTACAATATATAACTTAACAAATTAGAGGGTCAAATGGTTAAAATTTAAATAATTGTTTTTACTTATGTAATAAAGTTGAAATTTGAAATTTCCCTTAGGGTGTGTATTTTAATCGGCTCCTGAAAATTGAATTAAAATCCATGGTCATCCAGCCGAAAAATTTAATGTTACTTGGAAACGCCAACATATATACAGTTTCTTTGCTATAAACTCAAAATTATCTAGTACGGTTTTTTGTGTATAATATTTTAGTATTTGATATATTGAGTCGTATTTCGGTCTTGAGTCAAATATTTAAAATATTCAACGAACAAAGAAATTGGTTTGACGGTGTAAAATAATCCTTATAATAATACTTTACTTCACGAATACGTTGAACAATATCATATGCAATAAAATTTAACATTTTGCAATATACATTTTGTTTCCGCTTTAAAACGGTTTAATTTTCATAACCGTAGGTATTACATTTCCACGTCTGAACATGTGAAAGTTATAATTTATGCCATTGTTCGTATAAAAACTACTTAGTGAAATATTTCCATTAAGTTCCACAACCGTGTAGTCATACGAGTACCTTCTAATATAAAACACCTGCAACAGAGCCTTCCAAATATTGTGTTATAGTCGAATTCACCGAAAAGTATACAGAGTGTAACAGTACTATTTGATATTTTTATATTGTAGTTATATGTGAAAATGTAAAATAGTCCAGTTATACCCTGTATACAGTGTGATTACGATTTAAGGTAACACTAAATATCTCTGGTGGATATCTCTATTGAAATCGGGTTTTTGAGAGATAATAGGGAGTACCTAAATACATATTTTCAGATAAATATCAAATTTGTAACACTTTTTGTATGAACATGCACAATACAACTTACATTTTTTAAATGGAAACACTGTCTTTTTCTACATATTCGGATAGATTATTTTATTTTTTTTATTTTTTGTATTCAAAGTTTTTTCTATGTATAAAACTGACCAAGTCAGAGTAAGTCAAAATTTGGATTGCTGTATAATTCGTGTTTAATGAAATTTTCATTTATAACCACTGGAAATACTAAAATAATTGTGAAATAAATGTTCAATTTACTTTATCTGTTTACAAATAATAATTTAAAAATACTGTTGGTCACTAGAATGAATATTTCGAATATATGATAATTTTTGTTCAGTAAACTGCAATTATACGATTACAATTTTAACTACTTTTATAGTGGAATTTTATTTTATTTTACAATAGCTCTAATAACGATAAGATAATCAGATAATAAGGCATTTAGTAAATAGAATAAAAAGTATTCCATAGCAGTCTAAACATAAAAGCCAATAATATACGGTTACAAAAAAACATTAAAATTAAATTTTATTATTATTCGTTGCCACGAGAGTAATTTCGAAACTATTTTATGGAATAGAAAATGTGAAATTCGTTGTGACAATAA